TCGGTGCTCCGTTAGTCAGGTCTGACTGTGGTGATCGCTCGGTGCTCTGTTAGTCAGGTCTGCCTGTGATGATCGCTCAGTGCTCTGTTAGTCAGGTCTGACTAGTCCCTGTGTGTTTCAGTTATGTCAGAGCAGAAGTTCTGGCCGGGTTCGTAAACGGACTCTTCCTCATCTTTACAGCCTTCTTCATCTTCTCTGAAGGAGTCGAGGTACACACACACACACACACACACACACACACACACACACACACACACACACACACAGCTGCTGTCTCCGATATGAAGCTGTCTGTCTGTACCTGTCTGTCTGTCTGTCTGTCAGAGAGCTCTGGAGCCTCCTGACGTTCATCACGACCGGCTGCTTCCTGTCTCGGTCGCCGGTCTGCTGGTCAACCTGGTCGGGATCTTTGTTTTCCATCATGGAGGCCACGGACATTCACATGGAGAGGAAGGTAATACCTGGAGAACCTCCAGAACATCACTGAGTAGAACCGAGCTCTGTGAAACCGCACTGCAGTCATGTATAACCTCTCTGCTCTTCACTAGAACCCCTCGGCTCTTCACTAGAACCTCATGTCTCTAACCGGTCTGTCTCTCAGGTCACGGTCACAGCCACTCTCTGTTTAACGGTAGTGTGAATCACGACCACCAGAACAAACATGGAGGACACGGACACAGTCATGATGAACATGGAGGACATGGAGGACATGAAGGACACGGTGGACACGGACACAGTCATGGAGGACACGGCCATGATGAGCCACACCGTCACGGTGAGAGTCTGAAACATGTGTTCTCTGGAAGAAAAGACAGAACGGACTTGTCACAATGTTCATTTGTCTTCGTCTCATCATCAATATTTTCCTTTAAGTGAATCCTGTTTGATTCAAAGTGTTTCTTCTCTGCTGTGTTTGTTGTTGCAGACGAGCTTCACACGCCGGGTAAAGGATCCAGTAAACAGATCCTTCAGGGTGAGAGCTGATCACATCACATTAACAACCAGGAACTCATTTAAGGATCCATGACTTTATGTTCTAGCAGGACGAGATAAAGAACGTCAGTCAGACTGTTCGGTCACTTTGTAACATGACAAATATATAAAACACATATTCATGTGTACTCGTGTCCACAACAATGAGACTTAAGAGTTTGTCACGTGATGAACACTAAATATATAATGTTTCCTCATCATCACGAACACAAATATGATGTTCCAATAATCTATAATCACAGCTGAGGAGCTGAAACATTAGCAGCTGTTGTGAGCAGCATTGACCACTGGGGGGCGCCACCACACAACCAGCAGCAGAGCGACACATGAGAACCATGGATCTACATATTTAGCTTTTTTACAATAAAGCACTCACTGAAGTATCGGAAAAATGACTGTCATGAAGTTTAAACAATGAAAAGTTGACAGTTTGTCTTAAGGTCACATAAAAAAAACATAAAAATAATTTCAATCAATTCAACTTTATTTGTACAACTCAATAACACAAATCACAGATTTGTCTGAAAAGGCTTTACAATCTGTACAACATCCTCTGATCTCTGACCCTCACATCAGAACAGGAAGAAACCTCAGAGAGCAACAGACATAATACAATGACAACAAAGTCAATATATATGAATCATACATATGAGCTTAGTAATTGTACTAGTGGCACTAATAAAAACCCCAACTACGAACCTGAGCCGGCCCCAACTACGAACCTGTGTATATAATCTAAATGTGTGTGTTGCAGGCGTCCTGCTACACATTATCGCTGACACTCTTGGAAGTGTTGGTGTGATCATCTCGGCTCTTCTGATGCAGAAATACGACCTGATGATCGCCGACCCGATCTGCTCCATGCTGATCGCCCTCCTCATCGGAGTCAGGTGACCTCACACCTGAGTCTTAGTTCATGACACAATGATAACGTTCACTATGCTGCACGAGTCCTGAAACCAGACATGACTCAGCATTTTTACACTTCCTGTTGACGTCAGTGTGTTCAACAGCAGCGTTTATTTCTCTGATATATATACAGGTCAGTGAACGCCCCTCTGGTGAATCTTAGAGTGTAAAGGAGACGACTAAGCGTCCTCACTAGTCCTCCTTTAGCTTAGTGAAGTCAATCTATATGCGTGAAAGAAAAACCTGCAAGAATCTAACACATAAAATAACAAAGAAGTTAAGATATATTCTATATTTATACTGTGAGAGATGAAAATATGTAAACACCTTCAGACATTCATCCCCTGTTATTATAATTACTATATGAAAGTGTTCAGTGACTCAGTTTAAAGAGGACGACTTATTGATTCATATTTAGTGACCACTAGAACCCCTTAAAATAGATCTAGAACCTCCTCAATGACTACTAGAACCCCTCAAAATATATCTAGAACCTCCTCAATGACCACTAGAACCCCTCAAAATAGATTTAGAACGTCAATGACCACTAGAACCCCTCAAAATAGATCTAGAACCTCCTCAATGACCAAGAGAACCCCTCAAAATATATCTAGAACCTCCTCAATGACTAGAACCCCTCGAAATAGATTTAGAACGTCAATGACCACTAGAACCCCTCAAAATAGATCTAGAACCTCCTCAATGACCAAGAGAACCCCTCAAAATATATCTAGAACCTCCTCAATGACCACTAGAACCCCTCAAAATAGATTTAGAACATCAATGACCACTAGAACCCCTCAAAATAGATCTAGAACCTCCTCAATGACCAAGAGAACCCCTCAAAATATATCTAGAACCTCCTCAATGACTAGAACCCCTCGAAATATATCTAGAACCTCCTCAATGACCACTAGAACCCCTCGAAATATATCTAGAACCTCCTCAATGACCAAGAGAACTTCATAAAAGACATTCAAATACTATATGTACATCTTAAAGAATCTCCTCCTCAGTTGAGACTATAACCTCTTAAAGAACCCGTTTGGAATTATTGTAACCTCCTGAGGAATGTTTAGAACTTCACCTAGAACCTCTTTAATGACCACTGATTATGTGACTTTGGTCATTTCTTACATTAAAATCCATTTAAGACGACCCAGCTTCCTTGAATGCACCACTGAGGGAACGTTTGTAAACATTCTCTGTTCTCAGCTCAGAACAGAAACTCTGTCTCTAGAAGGAAGGAGATCCATCTGGAACCTGACGTGTTCTCTGGGTCCTGGTTTTCCACTAATGTAAAGAATGTGTGATTAGTAGTTAATGAGCTCTGACGGTCCAGACCACAGGAACGGAGTCCAGCGTCCTGATGTGTGCCGGTGTTTGATCGGCTGGAAGTGATTTAAACAGTCATCAGGGCTGATCTGTGGTCAGCTGAGAGGCCTTCACTGACCGCAGGAATCACGGCACCGCAGAGACTACTGCAGAAAATCTGCACATTCTACAAGTTCAGGTCTCAAAAGTAACTGTTGGTCACTCTGTACTGTAGTACTAGTAATACTACTAGTACAGTAGTAGTATTACTCTGCACTAGTAGTAGTACTACTTCAAATTCTACAGTACTCGTGTTCAGTTCTGAGAGAGTAGAAGTTGGTCTCTGTACTCTAGTAATTCAATAATGAATTAAAAGTAGTGTATTGTGCACTTTTATTTTAAAGTGCTGCTATATGAACTAAAGGTCAATAACATTTGGTTTGTAAACACTTTAAACACATCAGGTTCTTGTTAGCAGCAGTATTCCCTTTACACAGCAGCAGTTATAACACAGTTATAATGATTCTGATCATAGATATTCAGCCGGTGTTCACAACTTTATCTTCATGTGTGTAAGAGATGATATTTAAATATACTTCTTGAAAACTGCAAACATATCTACATCATGTTTTTATGTTTGTTAAATTCTCAGTAGTGATACTAAATGATGCTTATTATACATATTACAAACAAAACACTTTAAAAACTCTAAAACAATCATTTAAATAATAATAAATGAATCATTTATTTTTTGCTTTTTTTGGTGTTGTGGTCAGACACACATGCAACGCTGATTACCGTAATATGTGTGGTATTTGTTATAAAGCACCTCAGCAGCAGGAAGAGACGATACACACACACACACACACAGCTGTTCACCGCTCGCTGCCGGTTCTTGTGTTTAAAAATGTCCGCTTAATAATAATTTTTTTAAAACTGCGTTAACGCGATAATATACCTGGGCCTTCACTGCTGTCCTGCAGCTGAAACACCTCCTAATAACCTCATGATGGTGCCACAGCTACGGTGTATAGCTAGGAAATATAATGTTTTCTGTGCTCACGTAGGAGACAACAGGCTGTGTGACCTCTGAACCGGAACAAAGAACCGCTGAGGCCCCGCACTTCTAGGAGGCTAGGCTAACTAGCTTAACAAACAGTAACTCCGCGCATGACGGTATGCTTCGTAATTAACGGACAATGCATATAGTCCAAATCTATATAATTAACACAATGACAAGAACAAACTCACAAGAACCAGTCACATATATTCATACGACAACAGAGCAACACATCCATCCAGCAGAGCTGCAGCAACACGCATTCTGCTACACACTGGAGGGCCATTCACATATTAGATGTAAAGACAAACACAGTTGACTTAAAGACAAACTCCATCCTCCTTTCTTTGTTGACTAAGAGTTTAATCCGGTTAAATCCCAACTCACAAATCTGTTTCTCCTCCTTCAGCCATTGAGTGTTAAAAATACAAAGCAGGTAAAATAATAATAATCTACACCAAGCAAGATGCTAAACATGTCATAACTTCTTCATATCTTTCAATTTGAACTCTCACTACTCCGACTAAGCTCTGATGTTAAGTTAAATTTGACAATAGTCACGTGCTCGCCCACTGACCAATCACAGCGCACGCTGCACCTCACTGCAGAGCTGCACCTGGACACTGAGCTGCACGTAATGCTGACGTACTTGTAGGCCAGCTAGCAGCTCTGACACGTCAAAGAATACGCCCAACATGTCAAACTAGAGATCTGATTGGTTGAACACTATGACAATCAACAATATCGTCCCCAT